CACTACAGAGCGGGCCACAGTGGTCAGAGAGAGGGTGACAGTGAGAGGACCTGGGGGGCGGGGGGCGGGAGGAGGAGCCAAGCTCCACAGCGACGGACACTGGTACCCGGACAGACCCCGGGATGCGCAGCCCTGCCCCAGAGAAAGCGGCCTCTGTATCTAGCAGGAGGTAAGTTTGCATAGAGCATGTGACCAAAGGAAAACCAAATGAAGCTTCCAAACAGCTGGGGTGGGAGTAACGGTGAAACTGTTACTAGTAAAAATTCAGGGCTGGGCCCTCCCTGGTGGCACACGGGTTAAAACACGGCATTGCAGCTGCTTCCGTGCGAGTTCGATCCCCGCCTGCCCCGGAGGTGACCCGCATGGCGCGGCAGACCTCTCCTGACCCGCCCGCTGCTCCCCTCAGCAGTGTGCTTCGTCAGTTGGCCTGTTCTGTTCCCCACTCTGTCTCTGGTGAATCCTCTCACTGCCTCTGTGCCTCTGGCCTGCACTGCAGTTCTGTATGCAGAAATAAATATTTAAAACAAAAATTTTTTTAAATGAGAAACATAAAAAAAAAGTCAGGTGTCCCCAGATTCAGGGGCTCAAATGATGAGGCCTCTGTGTGATGGCCTCATTCTGAGTCCCACACAGAGAGAGGTAACCAGTGGACCCCGCCTTGCAGGCCCAATTGGAGGCCTACTGGATGGCCTACTGGAGCCTAAGACCCAGCTGCAGGCAGCCCGCGGAGGTCAAGGGCAAGGAGGAGCATGAGTCCTACCTACAACACCTGAGGAAGCTGGTCAAAGGAAAGCTAGCACGTGACACCTGCCCTTACAAGGACCACAGTGATGCTCTGCATACCGGTAGATGGAAGAGACTACCCCCGCCACACAACAAGGCAGACCCCCGGCCCTCTGGAATGGCAGGCAGAAGAAACCCTTTCCTGGCACAAAGAATAAGCTTAGATCACAGGCGAGGGTTCCTTTGGAGGGCCCAGGAGCAGCTCCTCACTGAGCAAGGCTCTGTTCTGCAGCAAAGACCTTCTGCAGCAATATCCCTCCCATGGGACATACAGAAAATCCAGCCTCTCGCCCAAAGAATGACGCCAAGTGGCCAAGGATCAGTGGGTCATCAAGCACGGAGCTCTCTAGGCTTCTCCTCCCACGTCCAGAGCAGGCCAGTAACAGGCGTCCTCTGGTGACCCAGACAGGGGTGGGCATGTCATGGGGGCAAGTACTCCCCTGGGGCAGCCAGACAAACAGACCACACACCCACACACGAGGGTGCCGAAGGCCGGAGGCTTTCCTGTAAGTCGAAAGCCACAGCTCTCCGTGCAGTACCCAGCTCTTCCACCAGGAGCACTTTGACCAAAAACTGACCTTGAAAACATCAACCTCCAGCCCGAAGCTGTAGATGCCACAGTCCCCCGAGTTCCCTAATGACAAATGTAATACCTCAACTTAATCGAATTTTTGTATTTCTTCCTGGTGCTGCTGTAACAAGTGACCACCAACATTCACTACCTTAAAGTTCAGAGGTCACAAGCCCCAAATGGGACTCATGAGCTAAAATCAGGGTGCAGACGGCTGCCTTCCCGTAGAGCAACTCGGGGAGGGAGACTATGCCCTTCCCGGTTCCCAAAGGGTCCGTCCATATTTCTTGCCCTGGTTCCCTTCCTGACTCTTCAGAGAGACTCCAACCCCTGCACCTGTTATCACATCTACCCTCTCATATCCTCCTGCCTCTCTCTGTCTCTCTGCTCTAGTGATTAACCTGGAGTTACCTGGATAAACTAGGATCATCCCCACCTAACTACACATGCAAAGCCTCTTTGCAGCTTATAGCTGCATATTCACAGCTTCCAGGGGTGAAGAGGTGGTCTCGGGAACCCTGTTATTCTACCTCAGTGCCAGCTTCTGATCCAAGCATGTTGCCTGAGCTGCATAAATTAACATTCAGCCCTCATAGCAACCACCTGCAAAAAACAATCATCAGGCATCTGGTCTACCCAGCGGCTCTATTTCTCACTACCCATGAATAAATCACTCCTCTGACAGTATACGGCTCTCTGTGCTTGGCTAACACAAGTCCACTCCTAGTCTTACCAACACAACCCACCAGATATCTGAGGCTAAGGGGCCACCTGTTCCCAGACTCCTCAGTGACCTCTCCAGGCAAGAAACCAAGTGGCCACACTTCTTTTTTCAAACTTCAGCTGTTAGCCTGAGGGGGAAACATGAGTTTAAAGAGTGACCCCTGCTCACCCTCCATGCGCCTCCAAGGACGAGAAAGGCCACCCATGTAAATCAACCACACAAAGGTCAACAGAAACAATTTTAGTTTGTCTGTCAAGGCAGCATCTCTTGGACTTGGCAGTGCACACCCTTATGGTGTGTGGGGGAGGGGCACAACAACAGCAGCCTCCACCCTCCAGAAAAACAGCTGGAGACACTGTCTTCACAAATGGTGAAAGCCAGCCAGCACCCGAATGGTAAGCAACCCACCCTCACTTCTGAACAGCTGGAGAGGGGAGGCACACTTTCAATTTGTTACTGGAGTCACTCACATCCCCACTCCACATTGTGCTGCTTAGATGGTGATTTCCTTAAAGGGGATCGGTCGCTCTTAAAAAAGGAGGAGGGTGGAAATCTGAACTTTGATAACCATGAAGTCAAAGGTTGTCAACCACAAAGGTTGTCAAAGGTCAACCACCTTCACAATTGTAAAGTTCTATTTTCCACTGACTTTTTTTTATTATTCCTGAAGGTACTTTCCACAGTAACAATGTAATAATGGTTCCAAATACAGCCCTCAGCAATCTATTCAACCCTAGGGCATCTAAGCCTTTAATGAATCTTCACTCTTTTCCCTACTAATGAGCTCACAATTTCATAAGCAATTTGTTGTCAAAGATAAAGAGATCTTGAAATACTCAACGAAAAGTCTTCTATTTTAGAAAATGCCTTTGGAATTCTCACCTAAAGTTTGGGGAGCTGGGGCATCACCTCCACACCTCAACACCAAAGATCAAGGTCATATCATCAAGCAAGCATTCTCCCTCCTCAAGCCCTGACTTCATTTACTCTTCCACATGCCCACCAGATACCCTAATCTGACCAGGACACCCCCCATGACCACCTAAATCTGGCCAGGTTGCATACTCGAGGGTTCTCAACAGAGGAAGCCATAAGCAGGGTTGAGGAGCCCCTATTTTGTTGAGTAACAGACACCACTTGGGAACTGGTAGTCTCCTGACAGGAGGCCACAGCGCCATCTTTGAAAGTGGCTTTTAAGGAGGCTGCTTCACAGCTGCTGACCCATGACTCCTGCTCACTGCTCTTGTCAAGTGAAAGGAGTGGACTGCAGTAAACAGCAGAGGGAAGTCCAGTTCATGCCCATGCTCAAGGGCTCACATACCAACCTACCCTAGAGGACACTCCCAGCTCAGGCAGTGATCTGGTCAACTATACAATAAACACCAGCAGCACACACTGCAGCAGAGTGGAGTGGTAACAATGCCACATCCTCTCCGCACTAGCCTGTCGGGGCTTTCTCAGCTCGGCCCTAAAAAGGCTCAAACCCAGCCAGGTCTCAAAGCATTCAACCCAGGTCTTAGGCAAGAAATTTGAGATGCCACAAGAACCATTCTGTGCTTGCTGGATCTGTGTACCCATGTGGGAAAGGTGGGAGTCACCCCAAAAATGCTTCCACTCAGAAATCTCTTGTATAGGGGTTGATGTTTGAAATCAAAATCAAGTCTAGTGGTGCTTCTTTTCCTCTAGGCTTCATTTTCTTATTGCAACAAATCAAGGTACTAAATAGAGCATACATGTCTTGGGGGGAGGGGGGATCACCTGCATTAGACTCACATACCTAGCCTGGCTAATCCAGAGCCCCATTTCAATCCCGGGAAGGGGAGTTCTCTTCTCTGTGAACCACTGACTCAGTCCCCTAGGTAATTCCTCTGCATATGAATCAGCTGCACAACTCAAGAACCAAAGACCTGGAGGAAAACTTGAGTTCATTTTCTCCCCAGATATGTTTATGAGCCCCTAAGCTCTCTTGAGCCTCCAATAATGAACTTTTTAAAATTGGAGGGGAAATACCTACTCATCACTGTGTCAAATGAGAATAGATTGGAAACTGCTGGAAAGGGAAAAGGGTTAGACAAAGACAAATACCATTCACCAAAACACAGATCAAATGGACAAATGAATGTAAAAGCCAGGTGCAGGGCAAACAAACATATAGACATAATGAAATGAATCCGGGGCCAGAAGAGTGATATCTACAGAAAAAGGGTGATGAGCCCCCAGAGGAAGCCATGGTTGATTCTGCAATAGCTTCCGGACTGGTAACAAATAAAGATGGATAATGTAGGAAGCAAAGCATGTTGTGAGGAAAACATTCACTGACACGCTGAACCGGATCAAACCAAGAACATGATAAATACAAAAGCTTCCAGGGAAACTCAAGTCTTTGTGGTATTACATCCACATCCCACACATTGTTTCAGTACTTACTCCGCAGCAGGCACTGTGCTAACATGTGGACATGGATTGCCCCATGAGGTAGCACTGTCAAACTAATTCCATTTTACAGATGAGAAAATCGAAGAGCAAAGAACTTAAGAAACTAAGAGCCGCACTGGAACCTGGTCAGTCCAAGACCAGGTGATTCTCACCACTCTGGCAGGTTGCTTTCAGCCCTAGCCTGACAAGACTTAATCAAGTGGCAAGATCCTTGGAAGGATCTCAAGATCTAGACATAAAATCCTCTAAGTACATGAACTGAGACAACTGAACTGTTGCTAATAATCTAGCAAGTCTTACAATGTTAGCGATGCATTTAGCAAGAACACACAGCAGGACTTCCCATCTACTTAGTCTTCCAAAATCCTGACTGGCGCCCTTGATCTAATTCATCCACAAATGCACTCATCTCCTTCTGGGTGCCTACCGTGTGCCAGGCACGGGGCTATGACAACGACCATGAGCCCGCTTCCCTCGCCCCCTCACCTTCAGTGGTTTGACCTTCTCTTTTCAGCATCTGGACAGCTCCTACATATTTCTTCAGTTGGACTTTGAGCACCTCGTTTTCTCTGCAGGGACAAGAATGTTACAGATGTTTAGCAATTGGTAATTTAGACCCAACGGGGGGGGGGGCAGTGTAGGAAACATAAGGTGCATGTCATCGGTAGCAATAGTGCTCTGTTGCCAAGCTCTTCACCGGAAGAGACCGTTGCCAGGGGACACCTGCAAAATGCCTTCACTCACTGTTCTTCCCTGATGAAAATAAGCCCAGTGTGTTTCAGTGCCCTCCGACTCAGCGCCCTCTAACACCTGCTGAATGTTACCTGGATCTGCTCGGCGCCTAGTCGGTGTGAGGCACTCTGTAACACTCTCTCCAGGTGCTATTCCACCTGGGGGATGCTCTTAATATTCTGATGAACCACCCTGCATTGAGCATTTACTATGTGCCGGGCGTCACGTCAAGGCTTTCCCTATCATCTCATTAAGTCGTTCCCAGGTTCTGCCACAGCACCCATTTTAGAGATGAGGGAACGGAGGCATAAAGAAGCAGTTGACTAAGTCCACATCAATACCTACATACAATTACACTGTGGACCAGGGAATGTGGCTACGAGACCCCTTTATATGAACTCCCTCCAAAGCACAGTGGTTGAGGAAAAACACATGAGGATCAAGGAGAGAAAACTACCATGACTGAGTATTTGCCACTTATCTCAGACTTTCCATCTACAGCCTCGTTGAATCAAGCTCACAGTCACGGATCCATCCCCCAAGCGGTGGAAATGTGTTTAAGCGCCTAAGATGGGTCAGGTGTGATGACCCTGAGGGAGTCTTCCCATTTTAGAGGAAGCAGTTGGGGCACAGATAAGGTCTCTGACTCAGGTCATGTAGCCAACATCAAGGTCACAAGTAAGGCACGATGCCAAGATACAAACTCAGTTCTCTGGTCCCACAGCCCACTAGAGTTTTGTCTCCTCTGGGATTCAGACTTGGGCTCTCACCCCCAGAGTATAGTCTTACTGCCACATTTCACTGCTGTCTGCCCCCACCAAGGTTTGACAACTTTAAAACATGATACAAAATTTCTTTCTCACAATGAAAAGAGCTTTAGGATGGAGTTGTGTTTTTTTTTTTTTTTATGATTCTAAAACTAAAAATGCTCATTGTTAAACACTCACTCATAACTGATTGAGAAAGAATGTAAAACACAGCCAACAATCCAGCACCTTGAAATGAACCCCACCAACATTTTGTTTTTATCCGCCACACCTCCCTGGGCACACACACACATGCCCTGACGTATAACTTTTCGTAGCTCAAACATTTTTGTTATTCAAAATCTTTTGTCTACTGTTTACTGCTCCACTCAGCCGTTCCCCATGGTAACCAAGTATGTTCAAATGCCTTCCCCTGTGCCCACATAATCACTACCAACCCGATATGCTCAGTTTACTTGATCAAACCAGATCACATAACAAAGGTTTCTGCTCTGGGGTGGTCTTGCTTAACAATTCACCACAGGGAGCACCTGACTCCATCTGTTCTGGATGGGGACGCTGCACCCCGGGCCAGACACACACACTACCCCTTGCAAAGCAGCGGGCCGCGCGGTGCTGGCTCTGCCTGTCTGCAGTGCTCGTGACTGGACCTGAGCCCACAAATGTTAGCACGGTGCTAGCATTTCACTGTCCTGCTCTCTATGTTGGCAGGAAGAACATTTGCATCCTGGGTAGACACGTGGGTGTCTGCGAAGCCTACACAACCCAGTTCCAGAGCTCTAGGGGAAGTGAGCCTCGTAAAGGTCCCTCAGTTCCTTCTTCTCTCCCCCCGAGACAGCCTGTCGTGGTGGTCTCCACAGGTGTCTGAGCTGTCTCCGTCTGCGAGGGGAACAGCAAATATCCGAAACGAGTCCTGAAAGGGACTAAGGCAAGGGACACGTTCGCAGGTATGAGGACTGTGGGGTTTGTCTCCTGGCGTCCCTCGACGGAGTCTCGTCAGGCCTCCAGCCCGCTCCCACGCTCCACCGGGAATTCATGTTACAGCTGCCTCTGGCTTGCTGTTGACGCCTGTTTCCATTTCATCAAGAGTGTCCTTGTGCTTCGCTTCTGTGGGTGCTGTTGTTAAGTCGCACGACTCACGTGCATTCTACGTGGCCTAATCCGACAACAGGTCACAGCACACCCTTCCCAAGGGGCAGGGCAGATGGGGCCTCATCCCACCTGCTCACACCACACAGGCTGACTCTCAGCTTCCTCGCTCACCATCGTCTTACCGGCCTGCATGAAAATGGTTTGGTGACTGCTTTTCTTCAAATATGGATCAACCTTTCAACTGAGTATGCAGTCAGACCTAACAGATAAAATCTAAGGCAGATGTAAATCTACCTTCCACCAAGACAATGAGACACTCACCCCACTGGGCTGGGCACCTACGGAAGCCACAGGTTCCTCCAGGCAACTGCACCCATCAACCTGCCGGCTTTTTGTGGGAACGCAACCCCTTTGGGTCACGAGCTGCTTGCACAGGCCAGGAGGCACCTGGCCCCAGGGTGGGATCAGCCCTTCTTGTTCTTTCATTTCTATTTTGGAATTATTATAGATTCACATGAAGTTGCAAAGAGATACCAAGGCCTTGTGTAGCCTGGCTAGTCCCACCGGACTCTGGCATGGCCATGACGTGTGTATGTGTGTGTGTGTTTCTATTGAGCCTGTTTGTTTGTTTTTTTTAAGATTTATTTGTGCATACAGAACTGGGGTACAGGCCAGAGGCTCAGGGGCGGTGAGAGGCTTCACCAGAGAGAGAGTGGGGAGCAGAACAGGCAGATGGACGAAGCACACTGCTGAGGGGAGCAGCGGGCGGGTCAGGAGAGGTCTGCCGCGCCATGTGGTCACCTCCGGGGCAGGCGGGAATTGAACTCATGCGGAAGTGGCTTTAGATTCTCAGTGCAGTGCTTTAACCAGCTGCACCACCAGGGAGGGCCGAGCCTGTTGTTTTAATCATGCTCCTAACAGCCCACTGCCACGTGTGTCCCCTAAGATAGGAGACTGACCAAGATGACCACAGCAGCTGGACAGGCTGGATCCAGAGGTGAAGCAATCCTCAAATGAGACAAGAGGAAAGAGAGGTGCATACAGGGGGAATGAGAAAGTTCTCATCTTGCCAATAGGCATCAGTTACCGGCTCCAGAAAATAATCCCCAGACTCTCAACAACTAATTTGCAGTCAGCCCACAGGACTTTAATTTGTAGACAGAGGAGCCACACAGAGTTTATCTTTTTATCATTACACAGGTCTTTGTTATGACTGTCAAATAAAAATGCCCCTTTATTTGACATCTCCTGAGACAACAGAATGGTTCAATTAATTAAATGAATCCAAACTGTGAAAGGCCCCGAAGTCCTCTGCGCGTGTGAGGGAGCAGGAGATAAGGGGGGTACACGCCACGGGGCCCTGTAGCCAAGCAGGTCTGAACGAGAAACACTTGGTGCCAGCCTCTCAGCACCTTTGACTCAAGGAGCTGCTCAGAGCAGGCGTCCTCCGTCTCCTCCCCACCGGGCAAGGCCTGTCCCCACCTGCTCACCCTCACACAGGTGCCTGTGACTGGGCAGCTCGTGAGAATAAGGCCCCCAAAGGGCTGGGCCTGGGTGTTCCACCTCAGAGCAACTCTCTCTTGCCCATTCCTGGGGTGTCCTCCCCCCAGGCTCTGCTCCACGTCAGCCTACCACACCAGCCCACTGGGAACCAACAGAGAGCCTGAGCCAAACCCTAACACTCCGCCTGGAAACACCCAGCATGGCAGGGGTGAGGTAAGACCTTCTGGGCCACTCAGGAGTCAATAGGGTTTGGCCAGTTTCTCCACCTGCACCCAAAGGTGCTGCTCACTAGTGCTCCAGAAGCGGCAGGTGAACCTCTGTAACCAGTGACCTTGGGCTCCCCCCAAGGATTGGGCAACTCACACGTCTGCCTCCAATGGGGAGGTAGGAGGGGTGCCCACAGCCGCCGAGCTGATGAGAAAACCAGAGGGCGGGGAGAGCTGGGCAGAGGTGCATAGAAAGCGGTCCTGGGGCCACTTCAGCTCATGCCCAATTCTCCCACATTGTGCAGGGAGATGGGATCCTGTGTCCCCACATGTTCGTGAAAGAGAGAAACACACAGAATGAACTGGAAGGGGGCTGCCCAAGGCAGTGTGCTCTGGACCCACATGAGGGGTTCCAGATTGTAATCACATGGACTGCTTTGAAAAGAAGGAAGATTTGGGCCCTCCCTGGTGGCGCAATGGGTTAGGACGCAGCACTGCAAGCTGGCCGCAGCTGCTTAAGTGCATGTTCTAGCCCCAGCCCCGGAGGTGACCCACATGGCGCAGCAGACTGCTCCTGACCCATCCACTGCTCCCCTCGGCAGTATACTTCATCGATCTGCCTGTCCTGCTCCCCACTTTGCCTGGTGAATCCTCTCACCACCCCTGCACCTCTGGCTTATATCCCAGGTCTGTGTGCATAAATGAATAAATCTTAAAATAAAAGAAAAAGGGGCCCTCCCTGGTGGCGCAGCGGGTTAAAGTGCTGCACTGAGAAGCTAAAGCCGCTTCCGCATGAGTTCGATCCCCGCCTGCCCCGGAGGTGACCCCATGGCGCGGCAGACCTCTCCTGACCCGCCCGCTGCTCCCCTCAGCAGTGTACTTCGTAGACCTGCCTGTTATGCTCCCCACTCTGTCTCTGGTGAATCCTCTCACCCTCCGCATCTCTGGCCTGTACCCCAGTTCTATGTGAATAAAAAAATAAAAATCTTTAAAAAAAATAAATAAAAAAAAAGAAAGAAAAGAAAAAGAAAGAAAAGAAGGAAGATTTTCAAAATTGCATGGATTGAAAGACAACAAACAGTAAGACAGACAAACAGTGAGTATAAAAACCAGGATGGTGGGCACAGTGACTGAAGTTGGAGGAGAGAGTCTTCGCTTTAAGTACAATAAGGTCGGGGGGAGAAGACATTCATTACATGCACATTCTAGCCTGTATTGCAACCTGTTCAATCTGTTTAGAATGAGATGAGCCCAACATCAGCATGCCAC